TGTGTGTGTGTGTGTGTGTGTGTGTGTGTGTGTGTGTGTCACAACCTCTCAGGTGTGCTGTGCGTACACCAAACAGCCAAACTGAGCAGAAATATCTTATAAATAATATATAACATATATTTATAAAACAAATTGCGTAGGAAAACAAATTCAAAAGAACAAGGAAAAAATGGTTTTAATCTCTCAGATTTGATGCCAAACTTAAATCTCAAAATTTGACTCCAAAACATCAATGAGCAAAACACGAACAAGGATTTTCACTTCGTTTCTTTCTACTGTGTTGCTTACAGCATACAGAGAGGCTAAAAGCATTTCTCAAAAGCACTTCAAAAGCACTGTGGAACCAGAGGAAATTACCTCTCTGTTTTGAAAGCGGGGCCCATATTTCTCAGAGCTAACATTTTTCCTTCCTGTCGTAAAAAACAGCACTTTAGTCCATACATTACGATGGGACTCGCACATTCTCACCTTCACTAAGTCCAAGTCAATCTCCAGCACGTTCGCCAGCTGAGAGGCACAGGAGGAGGAAGGAGCAGGAGAGAGAAAAGAAATAGGGCTCGGTTGAAAAGTTGATCAATAAACACACTCTCACACAGACACACATTTTACGTTCAATGAGCACAGCAGGCGAGAACAATAACACCCATTTCTACAGCCTACCTCCGCTACGTTTGTCTGCTCATCGATGGACACAAAGATTTTGTAGAGCAGCGTTTCAAAGTAATCGCCCTGGACGCGGTTCATGACAAAGCCTTCCAGCGGGGGCACTAAAAACGGTGACAAACAACTGAACAAATATTTCCACAAACATTGTTTCACATCATTTTATTTTGCAATTAAATTGTTCTTTTTTTTTTTTCTTTAAACGTACGCATCTGTAACAGCATGCGTTGTTTCAGACTAGTCCATTACCCATAAAGCCCGCCTGTTCCCAGGGTTGTGATTTAGGTATTCACAGAGTTTAGTGAAGGGAATTACTTTGGGAACAGTAATGGCAGGATGTTTAAACACACACACACGTTGATGTACCTGAGATGCAGCTGTCATCAGATATGGGAACATCCAAGTAGATGAATCCCCGGTTGTACAAGCCTGGAATAAAAAAACAAACATACAGTAGTGTCTGTTAGCACATTTGATATAGTATCTAAGGCTTTGCCCAAATATTCAACTTTTTGGATATTTGTTTGTTGGGTAGGCATTTGGTTTTAAATTTGGTATTAGGGTTCTTTTTTTAACAACAATTCTGTAGAGTAACAGAATCCTTAATGAATTAAACCTAAAGACACATAGTTGCAGCGCTATGCCGTCCATCTCAGCCGAGAACGGAGACATGTCTGGCTGAGTCCTTCACGCGTCACGCCATGGAGATGAACCCATGTTATTGATCATGTGTGAACAGAAAATTGTACATATGAGAAGAGTGGAAATAAAGTTTAGCCAATCAAATCTGATTTGAACAATTACTTCTATTCAAATTGTCTCCTGGATTTAATTTGTTCCCACTCAGATAAAAGCACTCCAGTGGAGGTCAATGGCGGCTCTCTAATTGATATTTGAACTGCATGGACACAAACTTGGTCTCTGTGCTTCATCTTTCAAATTCACTTCAGCACACTGATGAAAGTCCTTAAACTGCAACATTAGTATCAGCCACTATGTTCACACTTTAGCTGTGAAAGACTGTTGCCCCTTGCTACCTGAATTTCAACAGATTTCAAAAATCCATTAATGCAAACAAATGTCATTTCTATAATTACCCTGAGAAACAGTTAGATTTAGATCTAGTTAGATTAGACAGCCAACTGCACAGATCATAAGTGTGCTTTAAGCTTTTCTAGAAGTAAACGGATACAAATAAAATAATAATTCTTCTAAAATAGGCATATATTGTGAAAATTAATTAAAGTTTTATTATAAGGATAATTAGAAAACATCATTTATAATTTTATTTCAGACTTTGATGCATTCAGATACGGTTGTTTGAAACGGGAACATAGTATGCGACAGTTACTCACTTAAGACCACGTTGTACTCCGTTGATCCAGTCAGCTGAGGACCAGCATCGATCATCTTATCAATGGCTTTCTTCTCTCCTGGAGAACAGATCTGCAATTACACACAACAAACACACAACATTAAAGCACACCTGCACATGTGGCTTTGTTTGTCAAAAATGACCTCCAGTGAACAACAGTGGTAGTGCAGTCTCTGGGAGGATGAATACATTTACATATGATGACTGTAGATTCGTGGTTCTCAGTGTTTTTTTCTTGTGGAGAGGAGTTCCACTGTTGTGGACTTGGCAGTTTTGTATTTTTAGTCAGATGAGATCTCCACATGCAGTGCAGGGGCTCATGGGATTGACGATTGTAGCTTGGTGGGTAACATGTATGAATTTCAATGACAGCTCAGGGTAAGAATCACACCAACACACTTCATTTTTCCAACACTTGTTTTGTAGATCAAAGTAATTTACATCAAAGGGAAGGAGGATTAAAAAGAATAAAATAAGTTGTCCTCTCTCCTCTCACCGTATCCATCACAGCCTGCCATCACTAAACATTAAGTATCTAAACACATGCCTATTATCAAATTATACTGACGCATGTAATAATAGAAGCAATTCTCTTATCTCACCCTGATATCGTCTTCGGTGATGTAGCCCGTCTGTGCCGTCCACCACGGCTCCACAGAGATCTCCACCGGTTTGGCCGGTAGAAGGTCCCGCGCTGATTTCCTGCGGAAGAATTTCTGACGAAGGAGACAAGCGACATCAAGCCACTCAAATCTAATAAACAAGGCTATTTTGTTAATATTTTAATATATATATATATATATATATATATATATATATATATATATATATAAAAATACAGAAAATGTAACATTTATGAGGCTGTGTCTGCATATTGACAATTGATATGCAGTTTGGGAGAAACAGCTGGATTTATTTCCATATGCATTTTACACTAAATGTGCTAAAATGAACAAATCTATGAGCTTAATGTATGACGTGTTGTTCTATGAATGCTTATCTAAAAGGCTTTTTTAGAAGCATGTCTTACTTTGGACGACCTGCACTGGTTCATGAGGTCAATGTACTGGTTTCTCCCGATGCCAAGCAGCCGCAGACCTGTGGGATAATGAGAACATGGGCGAGCCAATAAAACTCAATCGCGCCTCAGTAACTGGCCATGAACTTGTAGTCGCTGTACATTAACACTCAGGCAAAGAGCTCTGGATAAAAACATTACAACAGAGAATTACAGGAAGAAGTTTGAGAATCATTTTTTCTGGGTATTTCCAACTTCATATTGGAGAGCAACTTCTGAGAAAGAAGGAGCTTGACGAGTGGCAACAGTGACTCATCCAAACTGTGCTGAAGGAGTATGTCCACACATACGCATACACTTTCTCTGAAACAATCCCAACACACACACGAAAGCTCTACTAATCCACCTTTCAACATACACGGCGGTATTTCTGAAGATAATAGGAGTGAGGGTGTGTGCATGCATTTGAATCTGTAATTAAATTGAGATGTGTAGTCTGTGTCTGAGAAAATACTGACTCATAAAGCAGGTTTCATAGCTTGTATAGAGGTGGAGGTATGCAAACATTGGCTCTAAATCCCACCTTATTCCCTGCTCTAGCCTATGATGCACAGGCCCAGAAGGGGCAGAAGAGCAGAATGTGCTGGGACGGCTACCAATGCAAACAGGGACCAGTCAGGGATGTTCTCAATTGGGCCTCCTAACGCAGCAGAATCCTACACACGTATCCTGTTGTTTCACCAAGACACAGACACAACACACAAACATCCGCCCACGAAAAACTCTCACACACACACACACACTCTCTCTCTCACCGCCTCTCCATCCACCCACTTCTGCATGACACACTTCCAGAGCTCCTCCAGGGAGATTAGAGAGAAGCCCCTGGTAGAGCGAGAGAAATGTGCCTTAAAGCGCTCCTAGCGATGATCAGTGTGATACAATATGATTACTTGTTGAAGGCCAAAACCAAATAGATACTTAATGAATGTGTCGTACAACAATGATGACTTGTGATACGTCTACAATAAAGCAACAAATACAGATAACTGGATGTTAGCTAGGGTGCGGCTCACGAGAACGACGGCTCCATTCTTGAGAGAAGAATGCAGCTGCAAGAGGAAGATGCCGACCGGAATCCGGCAGTTGGACAATCAGCAGATCGAGGTTACAGCCAATTCCTGAGCGAGACGTGTCGCTGACATAGGGAAAGGAGGCGGACTTTAAGGCAGTACATAGCCTGAGGCTTTCCGCAAAACGGGAGCTCTGTTGTTGACCATTGGACAGCTAACTGGGGAACACCAGTCTGTTGGGTGGAATGCAATACACCTCTATCGCATGAGAGATATCTTTTTTTGTACTTCATAGTGCGATTCAATTTGCTAAACTGTTTTTGCTTTTGATAAAATAAATATCTTTCGATTACAAATTTGAACCATCTATTCGACTATTTTGTCGACGGACCTCGAGCCAGAGGGGCCACTCTTCGGAGACGGTCGCGCGGCTCCAACGGCCGGCTGGCAGCCTTCTGTCTCCACAGCGTGAAGGTCCTGTACAGGAGTGAGTCAGTAACAGGCCAAAGCCCATTTCACTTGACAGCAGCAAGTCAGAGAGTGCTACAACCGCCCTTACACTTGACTTTAAACTTTGACGCAATCTGAATCTGCAATAATTTCTGAGGAACACAGCTGCTCTGTGATGTTTTGTTTTTTTGGAGAATCAATTATATTTCACCGTGAAGTGGAATTTATATCAGTCAATCCAAAATCCACTTGGCCAGTGCTCTGGTTTGGTTATGGAAACACAAAGAAATGTTTTAGGTTGATTAGTAACGGTAGTCATTGGCCTTTGAAAACCATTTCTCTCATAAACGTTCAAAAGAAGTGTGGGATTTGGAGAAGTAGTAGTAAGCCAAGGCTTTCTAAGAAAACTCAAGCCTCCACAGCACAGAAGCAAGCTGAAGACATTTTGAAAAACGGATGCATCTGTCAAGAAGTTGAGCAACAGAAATGAGCCGCTCCTGCCAGAAGCCTGGCATCCAGCTGCCAATCTTCTCCCAACTTCCTAAAAAAACATTTAGATTGGCTTAATTTACTTCAGATATACTATGTTAAAAAAACAGTTTCACACAAACAGAAAAAAACATTTCCTAAAACGGAAGGTGGCATCTTCAAATTGCTTGTTTTGTCCACTTGAAAAAAATAACTTTATGATACAAAACACAAAAAAATTGAGAATTCTCACAATTAAGAAGCTTGAACAAATGCATGTTTGGCATTTTTGCTAAAAAAATAAAAAATACTTTAAATACAATTTATCAAAACAGTTCACTTTCTGTCAATCAAATCATGGATCGTTCCAGCTCCATAACAGGCGCTATGAATCATAAATCATTTAAATCCCAAATGTTCCTGAAAACATCTTTTCACTGTGACTTTCCTCTTACCTCGTAAAAAACAGACCAGAGACACAGAGAGGGAGGTACACAGAAGCCCAGTAAAGTAATTTCAACAGTGTGGGAGAGAAGGAGGGGGGGGGGGGGAGACTCACAGTCAGCAGCAGTGAAGTTGGGCAAGGAGTCGTAACTCTTCTCACTGTTCATAATATCCTGGAGGTGCGAAAAGAGAAAAGAAGAATTAAACTCATTTCCCCCTTTCCGTGTCCCTCCGCCTCTGATTAATAACAGGATTAGCAGATCGGGGCGGCCGTGCTCATTCCTACAACCCATTTTCATTAAGTGCTTAAGACGGATTATGAAAATATAACATAACCTTCAGCAATTCAGTGGTCACAATTGAAGCTTAGTCAAGTTTAGTTCAGCATGCATAGGAAATAGGGTGAACCCTTTTTAAATAGAAGCTAAAAACCAAATGGTTTGTCTTCATTCATGTGTCATAGGAAAGAGCACTGGGCATGTTAGTCACATGTGATCTAATGAAATGGGAAGTATGCCGAATGTGGAACAATCAAATATGACGGCTAGCATCTAAACACACCATCTCTGTGTAAACACACAGGGCGGTAAAGTTATGGAAATACATCCTGCAAAGAAATTCATACACACAAGAAATAGATATAATCCGCTTCATGTGGAACAAAATAGAGGAAACTACATTACAGGTGCATTACTTTCATTAAAAATGATTATATGGAATATGGATTGCTTTTCAGTAGCGACGCTCTCAGCCGTGTGCACACATGGGCTCAGTCTTTGCAATCTAATTGATAACGTCGTGAGTCAAGGAGAACCCGGCCGGTCAGCGTCTCTGAGAGGCCGGTGCTCTGTGAGCACGACTGTGCCGGCATCAAAACTCCACACTGAGCTTTTTTCAGTGAGAGAGCCGTCATGCAGACAAAGCCCAAACCGACTGCAGAGCACACAGCAAAGATTTGCTCTGGGTGTGTTTGTCCTGGGATCGGTCCTCTGTGTCCCCGAGCTGGTACACGAGGCTTCACTAGACACCGACTGACACCTAGTGCCTGACTGACGCCAAATCCATCAACATAGGAAATACAGTACAGCACATTTAGCTCCTCTAAAACTGAAGAATATTAACTGAATACCTCTTTCTCATAGCGGTGGTAATGTTTGGCATGTCACAACATTTTCAACATGTAATTTAAAATTCAGGACTCACTAATTCTAGTTTCTCCTTTATACATACCAACTATACAACAAAGGTGTAGCTGCACAAAGGGATGCCTTTATCGTAGATCTATTCATGTTTGATATTTCCAAGCAGCAGGGGGTTGTTAAAAGCTGAGATCCTTCTTGTTATAATGAGCTCTTGAATTGGGTTTTGTCTAAACTGTCATTACAGCAGTGTTTTCCAGGGATGCCAAAACTGAAGACATTGTTTAATTTCAATTAAAAACACTGGATGTTCCCAAAGCAATTAAGAGAATCTTTGCTGCTGCACAATAAGAATTCCTGCGCTTCAGCTTTGAGTTTACCCAGCTCATTGTTCTGAAAGCGCAGATGAAAATGTGAAATCACCATCTTATTTTCATGCGTTTCAGAAAGAAAGCAATGCTAGATGACTAAATCAGCCAGAGCTTTCACATACTGCGTTTACAAAGACAGATGTGCGGGTGTATGACAAGCTGCTGAACAGAAAGGTGGTTGAAGTTGCGTACCTCCATGATTCCGATGTAATAGGAGAAGGGAGTGACTCGCAGCCCTTTGACCATGATGTCAGACAGGTGGTAGGGGTACAGCATCAGGTGGTCCCGGCTGTACTTCAGGAGCTCCTCATAATACTTGCGCTCATCCTTCCTCACATGGCGCACTGCTCATAAAACACACACACACAGCAGTCAGGTCACAGCCAGGGCTGAGTGTTCATACAGTAACAGTTCCAGACAGGCATTCTATAAACCAATGCAGTCTAAATAATAAGATGTATTTTTGCAGCATTAGGATGCATTTGTTGTCGACAGATGTAGCTGATAAACTGGAAAGTGTGTGTCCATAAACTCGCATACCTTATTCTTGAGCTATTTAATGCAAGAGGATTTGTTTGCGTTTTGTCTTTGTTATTATGATGCGTCAGTACACGGTGTATACACAACTTACATGAGGGACCAACGTTAACTCACCTAGGTTATTGCGGAATCGCAGCTGGTTGCGGATGCTGTACAGCAGCACATGCTTCTCATACTCGCGCTGAGAGTTCCCCACACTCTGCAGAGCAACAACACACACAGCACACAGGTGATGATCATGGCTGTATGAACCTGCTAGTTGTTGCTATCAGGTCCTGTACATTCATTCAGTAACCGCAGGCAAGAGACTCTGTTTTTAGGACCACGTCAACACTCTGGCCTCTAGATCTTATACCCACACAGTGAGGAATATAGATGTTAAATTTAGGAGGAAGCGCACATCCTTAATTGAAATGTCAAAGTCTATATCGGGAAAGAAAATCTTGGAAACTTGGTGCATCACTAAAATTGTAAGTCACATATTAAGTCCTGAGGCCCTGGAGTTATGGGACAGTTTAGCAGCATAATGCATCTTTGGTGAGGATGCACGAGGATACAGTTAAAGAAAAGAGACACAAACACCCGCATTCACTAAACCACGACATGCTGGCGTAATTGCACAAAGTAACGTTGTATGCAGGCTGAGGGATTTATGCAGAAAATGAATAGTAAAACAATCTGATTTTGATGATTTTCGACATAGTTGAGCACAAAAGTGTGAATGCATTATTTGCACGCGGTGAAAATCATGTCACGCGTCATATCAAACAGTCTGTCATGTGATGCAGCGAAGCTTCAGTGGCTGTGATGTAAAGAGGGCCAGTTGTGGCTCCGGATGAATATAGAAAAACCTGCAGAGGAGGTCGGCGAGTCGTGCGACACTGACAGCTGATTGTATGAGTGCACCGCGGTGACATTGACGTGTTCACCGTCCACGACACAGCGGTGCCCCCCCCCCCCCCTCACCACCTTGCCCCCGTGGAAACATTTAAACACGGTACCTGTTTGACATTAGCTGGAAGCTTGGTCCACGGATAATTCTGCCTGATGTGAAATTCCACGTCCGTGTTCATCGCTAGCTAGCTAGCTGGCTAAAAGCAGAATCCCTCGAGACGATCAGAAAAGGGCTCTCGTGCAAGTCCACGGTGACTTTTAACCCCCCCGACACCCAATGACCGAGCGAGGCGACCCCCGACTTGAAGAGAAGTTATGCCGTGATTATTTTCCCTTTACAATAAACGGTCACTTCCTTGTTGTATTTTCGAACAAGCCGTTCGTCACGCTCGTGGCTACATTCGTCACTTCCTGTCGAGGCGTGACCGTGGATGTGAATGGAGCTCGAGAGCAAGGTGACAAATGAGAGATGATGGAATTATCAAACATGACTAATGTCGTGTGAAATAGAGTTTCACCTCAAAAAAGTATTTTCTTATTATCAACCAATCTAATAAAAAGACTATAAGCCAACAATGGGGTGGTCCGTCTCTCAGTGGGCTACTTTCCCACTGCAGCTTGTTTCTCAATACAAAGCATATCCATTCCTGAAGATGAAATATATAATTTTATTTCAAATAAAGCCTATGGAACTTCCTCAAACAGCAGGTCATTGTAGTTTTTAGTAAGCATTATTCAAAGACCAGTAAATAGTGGATTTATTGGGGACTATTTTCAGCCACGGATTAATACACATTTAACACTCATTGATGTGTTTTTAATAGTATGACAACAGTGGATGTCAACAGCCTCATAGGAATAAGATATACCAGGGTTGCTGCCACTATAGAATAACATTAAATATATAATGAGAATGGTGCCTGTTTATGTGCTTAACAGTGCCATCATAAAGCCTCATAAAAACCCTAAGGTCTAAATCAAAATACACTTTTAAATAAATGTTTTTGCAGAATTTGAGGAATTTTTGTTACAAAATATCATAAGTGAACACGGAACATAAACATTTATTTAAAATTTTTAAATGGCTTTTAATAGATTAAAAAAATAATCTGATTATAAAAATAGTGCAGGATGAAGATTAACCGCTGCACACTTTCAATGAGCTCCGTCAGTAGAGTTAAGTAAATGTCCCCTAAGCCATCATTAGATTTTCTGCAGCAGGAATACTGGAGGAAGAAAGTGAGGATTTAGGCCAGTAGGATGAAGCAAAAGTGGAAAATTGTAATCTTCATCTTGCACCTCAATCTGCATTCATTAAGAAACTGGTCTTTATCAGATTTTGTGCTTCGCCCCTGAAGGAGTCTGGAATACACACCAGGATTTATGAGCATGAAGCTGTCACTTGGTAACTGGTAACAGAGTGTAGGATTTCACTGTGTGACAAAGTCCACCAAAGCTCCGTGTGCTCGCATGTCATGATGTCTCCCTTTCTTGCAGCTTTGTCATTTAATCTGTCCACATGTAACTAACTCCAGTTCCTTGTCATGTGCCGCTACACAAACATGACAATATTTCATCTCCAAGAGCTGCAAGGGGTTCAAGTAAGATGGATGCTAAAGATAAGACCCCTTTGTGAGATAAAGAAATGACAAGTTAGTGATTTAAACTGCGAGGAAAAGGAGCCTTAAATGCCTCAGAACCATATCTCCCTGGCAAGTATGAGTGGAAACATGAGGTTATGACATAAAAAGAGATTATATTAAATTTCAACTTTAATCTTTCCCATCAGTGACTTCAAATAATGTTACAAGAGATTCTATCCGGATTTATTTTTTATCTTTCAACAATATTTGAGAGTATACTGCTTGTTGATCCGTATCACTGTTTCCCAGCTTTAGCTCCTGACTCCTTAAAATGAAGCAATGATTACTTGTGACCTCTCATCAAAGGTTCTGGTTTCAATGTGGATATATGAGCTGGGTGCAGTTTTACTTCTCAGACTGTTTAATCTAAAGGATGCTTAGAGGCCGTAAGAGGTGACGGTATACAGTATTAGACAAAAATGCTAAATTCGAAAAATAACATTTAAATTTTTGTGAACATAACACTAACACACATTAAACATCTCCATAATATCAAGGCATTTCAATCTATCGTTGAGCAAGTAGACGTAGAAGTAGTGTCACTGCACAGTCAGATGTTTTCACTTGTTTTAAGAACAGATGAGTTTAAAGTTAGAATCTTTCAGAGTTTTAAGAAATCAAACCCTGTTTTTGATGCTATCTATGGACAGTATTTCCTAGAAATAGCCATCAATGTACTAACACTCTGCAATCATTCTGGTAGTTTTCATTGTCAGCAGCAGAGTCCACCATTCCTTCTCTGGATTGAAACACATCCTAACACATTATCAGAGTTGTATGTTACTGCTAAAGCAAACTGAACATTTCCTTGATCTGCTAGTTCATATTAAAGGTGTCCAACGGTAGAAACACAGTGTCACCATTAGTGTCACCAAATCAGTTAGAACTCTGCAAAATGACTTGGTAAGAAGGATATTTTAGTAATGATCTGAAAATCAGTTACTGCATTATTCCATTTCCATTGGGTAATGGATGCTATTTGGCAATGTGACACATTACAAGGTCTTAAACAGGTGAGTAGTAGTAACAGTAGACATCTCCAGTTGTGCATGAACCAACGCACAGAAACAGCGCCACATCGTGACGCAAAATGAGTCCATTTCTTACAGCTGTTTGTCCTGATCAAGCTGGCCCATCAGCGCTGCACTATATTTACCTTCATCCTGGGTTACACACATGAGGGAGGAGGAGGGGAGGACTTAAACAGCATCGGAAGATGGACAAGGGTTAGCAGCTCTGGGACACTTTGATTAAACACCAGCTTGGGTGGGCTGGATGGCTGAGTCAGGACCCTGTGAAGATTCTCTCCCATCCCCTGGCTATTGTAAATGCTCTCTCCACTGGACCCTGGCAGAGATGTTAAGCCAGGCAACTGGGTACCAAACAGCTCTGTGTCACATGAGAGGCCTGGCTTCAGTCACAGTGGCCCGGGATACTATTCTTAGCTGCAGGAATGTACACAGTGGCCTCATGGCGAGCTCCACAGCGCCTAACTGGAAAGCCTCGTCGTTTCTCTGTGTCATGTTCCTTTTTTCTCCCTGACTACACTATTCACTTTCCCTCTGGATAATGTTTTGGTCCTCTTTTGATTGGGACTGATACCTTTTCTGACTAGACCAACCAGACATTTTGGATATTATTGATTTTCTGAGGGCAGGAGGTAAGGATTCACCCAGTCAGAGATGTTGCTGATGAACTGCCAACATCTTCGACACGTTTCTCTTAAACTCAGCAGTTTGACACAAATGTGATTTTGCTTCGGTGCTTTTGTTCAGCAATGGCATCAGTATATGCTTAAATTGTATCCTTTTCTAACTGAGTGTGATCATGAATGCTCTGATTCATGTTTAAGGAGCTCGGAAACTGCCAACTGATAATATATCTATAAATCAGCTTATATATATATTTATATTTATATGAAATACAAAAGAGCCCACAAAGCTATATTGGTTACATGATAAATGGATAAATGTTCAGAAACATAATTGATAATTCAAGTGATTGAATATGATTTATACTCAAGTGTGCATCAACTTTTAATTTCTGATGAAATTCAACATGAGGAGTTCTTGGTACTATTAGCATTTCAATATCCAAGTAAAGAAAATACCAGACAGACTGGGCCCTGTAAGTGGGAGTGAACAAGTAGCTGTCTAGGTGTGATTAGAATGCTTAGTGTTGCTAATAGCCCAGTGACATTCCCAGTCTTTAAACGGTAGGATCATCACAAGCCCTCCAACCAGGGAGAGACACAGTGGGATATGATGGAGGAAAAACATAACATATAGAAAACAGCAACAGCAATAGAGCGAGAGATATTTGGGGGGATAGAGACAAACACAGATGGTCAGTTAACACAGTTATGTTAATGTCAGCAATGGTGGGCTGCTTGATAAGGGAGATGTGGCCTAATACTTCATGGATGCATCAAGATTATTCAGGGGGGGTAAAAATAGCAATCTGTGAGTCACATTAAGGACAGCTGCTCTGCAGGGGTTTCAAGGGTCTGAGAGTGGTTTGATAAATGAAAGGGTTCGCTCTGCATGGTTAATCTGAGGGCAAAGGTAGGCCAGATACATTGTCAAATAATAATGCTGTGATTCCTACATTCCTTGAAAGCTGAATAGGTAACCTTACCACCCCAGTTTCACAAGCAAAATAGCATTTTGGTAAATTAGTCTTTTGGTGGGTTATTGGTAGATTCAAGCCTTTTTGTGGAGGCATTACTGTCTACTTTTGGACCTTAAAGGAATAGTTTGCAATTTTAGGAAATACATGGTGACTTCCTGGCAACCTCATGGTGAGACTCCAGGTCAAGATATAACCTCCTGTAACACAACAACATGTTGTTTATTACTTTTTGATTTGTAATGGTAGTGATATGCTCGTGTTTTTTATCAACCGTCTATTTCCAAAGGACAATAGAAATTCAACACTATGATCATAGATTCTCTTTTTTCCTTCTCCACAGAATGGCCTTAAGACCACGAGAAGTTTTCTCTTTCAAAGACTCAGAACTTCCCTCCAACCTTCTTGCCCAGCTCAACATCCTCCGTCAGGAGCGTATCCTGACAGACGTCCTGCTCTGCACGGAGCACCAGGAGATCCCATGCCACAGGAACGTCCTGGTGTCCAGCAGCCCGTACTTTCGGGCCATGTTCTGTAGCAACTTTCTGGAGAGCAGTCAGGCCCGAGTGAATCTCAAGGGAATCTCTTCAAATGTCCTCAGTGGCATCGTGGACTACGTCTACACAGGCTGCATCACTATCACAATGGAGATTGTGCTCCCGCTCATGCAGGCAGCCTCTATGCTTCACTACGGAGGTCTCTTTGAGGCCTGCTCCTTGTTCCTCCAGGAGCAGCTGAGTCCAGAAAACTGTCTGAGCATGATACGACTCTCTGAGATCCTTCACTGTGAGAGTTTGAGGGAGAGGGCGAAGGAGATGGCTGTGAGGTGTTTCTCTGATGTAGCTGCTACAGAGGACTTCTGTGAGTTGTCTCTTCCTGAGCTCATGTGTTACCTAGAAGATGACCGACTTTGTGCTGAGGAGGAGCAAGTGTTTGAGACCCTCCTGGCGTGGATCCACCATGACCCATTCTCACGACGCGGTGCCATCCATGATCTCTTCAAGAAAGTCCGACTTCGCTACATCCATCCAACTTACCTCTTCCAGTTCATTGCCAATGACCCACTGGTGCAGTCCTCCACCCTATGTACTGAGATCATCGAGTCAGTGCGCCGCCTCATGCTGACAGCCAGCACCAAGTGTAGCCGGGAACTTAAGCCGCTTTGGACCACACCGCGACGCTACACCTGCAGCGAAACACTAGTGGTGGTTGGAGGACGCAAAAACAATGAACAGACCTCACGAGAAGCCTTACTATATGATGAAAGGACTCATCGCTGGCAGTGGTTGGCCAAGCTCCCTCTGCGCCTCTACAAAGCTGCATATGTGTGCATTCATAGCATCCTCTATGTGCTTGGCGGGCTCCGCCTCTGCATGACATCAGGTGACAGCTCAGTCAGCGCCACAGTTTACACACTCTCCCTGAAGACCAACCAGTGGCGGACTGCTGAGCCTATGCTGGAGCCACGATATGCCCACCAAAGTGTGTCCTATCTGCACTTTATTTTTGTGTTAGGAGGCATTGGCGTTGACAAGAAGATCTCTCAGTCTGTCGAGAGATATAACAGTATGTTTAATCAATGGGAGGCCATGGCGGCGATGCCCACAGCGGTGCTGCATCCAGCTGTTGCAGCCAGTGATCAGAGGATCTACGTTTTCGGAGGGGAGGACGCAATGCAGAATCCAGTCAGGCTGATTCAGGTAGAGTCAGACTTTTCATTTCAGCAGCATTGAATCAGTATTACAGTCCAATTCCTGCATTGTTGCCACCCAAATTCAGACATGGCCTTGAACAGAATTCATTGTCAGTATCAACAAATGTAAAATTAAGAGTTAGAGCTATTAAGGATATCACACAAGCAGACAGAAAACTACAGTCTTTGATGCTGCAATAAACAGGTTGACTGTTCGTTGTGTGTCAACAGGTCTATCACATCTCTCGCAACTTGTGGTCCAGCCTAGAAACAAGGACGGTGAAAAACGTTTGTGCTCCTGCTGCTGTCATTGAAGACAAGATCTACATCATAGGAGGTGAGCTCAATGAATGGTTGCTCCATTACATTATAAATGGTCATTAACATTGTTCAGTGATTTATAAGGCATTGTCTCTTGTTACTTGTCGCTTCCTACTGGAGATGTAAATTTGTAGGTTATTTACCTTCCTAAAACAGTTGGGCACTTTATTAAACATTACTCAAACAGGAGTAAGCTGTGCATTTGTTTGCGCTCCAGCAGCAGGACGATGTACTGCTATGAAAAGATCACTTCTCCCAGTGCAACAGCGTGGCTCATAATAATGTATTTTTAATAGTTTTCAGACAACAATGGAGCTCTACAGCACAGATGAATAAAACAAATCAGGCTTTGGATGCACATCACCGTTCACCTTTGGATTTGTTGATTGTAAGAAATATATAAAACATCACCAGACTTATTCTTTAAAGTGTGCTTAATGAAAATCTAATTTTCAGGATACACCAGGCGAATGATCGCCTACGACACCAAAGCCAACAAATTTGTCAAGTGTGAGAACCTAAAGGAGCGGCGGATGCATCACAGCGCTACAGTGATCAACAACAAGCTCTTTGTCACCGGTGGACGCATCCTCAACGGCCACGATGTCATCGAGGACTCCGACTGCTTCGAGTGTTACGACCCCAAGACAGACGTTTGGACCTCCAAAGGTTCTTTACCGTACAAGCTATTTGACCACGGCTCCCTGCCCCTAGTCTGTGTTTCCAACAGACCCAACCCGCCGTGACCCACCATCCAACCAGCCACTTGGGCAAATGCTTTGCTGCATGTTCTTCACCTCCCCTTTGTCACGAGTTATTGGCCAATGACTACACAAATGGGAAACCATTTCAAGCTGACTGCACTCCTTCACAAACCTTGTCATCAAGGACTCAAGTGTTGAGACCCCAAGACAGACGTTTGGACCTCGAAGCGTTCTTTAACTAAGCAGCATGTTAGGCCAGGCTGACTTTCATGTGAATCAAAGGGGAGCTCAGCTGATGAGCAGAGGTGTCATTACTAAGGCACCTGGGGTCGAACTGAACTGAGAACCCACGAGATGACGAGAGGCAGACGTAGCCTACTTCAACAACAAACAGCTGTTCAGACACATACCTAATCCAAAAAGCGCTTTCCACAGATGGCTGCGCTCGTCTGATGGTAGCTAAACGTGTTAATGCTTTAATTTCCCAGACATTTATACACAGCATATCACTGCCTAGCAGCTGCAGTTGATTTTCCTGTAACAATTAAATACATAGGGTATAATATGTCTGGCTGCTCGTTAACTCTGTGAGCTCTGCTTCTCACGTAAAACTGAAAATGACAGCTAATGTAATTTGCACTTTATATAGAATACATTCCTCTTTGACCCAATGCTTCTATCAGAGTGCACTAGCTGATGAGTCGATTAATTGTGACAGAATAAAAGCTCCCAATGCAAAGTACATTAGTGTGTCATGTTTGCTGAAGTGTCGATGAGGAGCAGAATTTTACGAAAACAACATTTTCTGGGCCAACTTTAATAATCCAGTTTAACTGGCTTGATTCATGACTTTCAAGAGTATGTTCTGTATTGTCTCATGGAAGTTTTCACTTGCAACATATGTAGTGTATGTGATATGAAGTAGAATAAAAAGATGTTTTAGATTAGTCAGGCACTGTAAACACATGGGTTTGTGTATTTCAGTGGCTGTTTACTTTAATATCACTATGTACAGTTGTTGGATGAATAAAATGGCTTCACAGGCAGCTGTGTTGATTTGAGGACATGTGACAACGCTGTCTTTGAGGCAAGTGCATAGCAGGGATGCAGTGACCTGCTGAGGGCAACTATGACTGAAAATTGTGTGGGGTCGGGGAGAATTTCAGGGTTTGCAGCCTGTACAACAAGCTCATGCACACATGTAACCTGCAGGTGGTTCCTCACAAACATGTTTGTGTGATCTGAAATCAACCTTCTATTCATCTGAGAACAAAAGCTGTAATTTATTGGAGTAAGATGTAAGACAATGGGACTGTGGGGCCTCTCTACGGGCCTCTTGGCTTTGTAGCCCTCGTGACCCTCATGGAGCATACATTCACTGTCGTGCTCCAGCCCCCGCCCCTGGCAACAGTTGCCATGGCAGCCCTGTTATCCCCCCCCCTTTTTAATCATCCATGGCATAGCATCCCTATTGTGAAGACTGCATCACTGATCAACTGTGCTGCTGTTACTTGCACAATGGACTTCCTTTCTTTCTTAAAAAATGTTTTATTTCCTCCTGTGCTATTTACTTTGGATATTGATTTCCCTGTTCATGTACAGTGTTCATAAAGGAACACTGTTATTTATGCATTGTGTATGTGGTGATACTGCACAGACAATTTCTAATTTATTGCTTTGATTTTCTCTGCACATGAGAACAAATAATGAATCTGTTTTTGGACAGTGGTACAAATGTTGTTGTTGTTTTACTGAACTGTCTTTGGTTGAACTTGCTGCAGATTTAAATGGTTCTCCATCTGTCTGCGGACTGGTTGAGTCATGTTGCCCTCATACTCGAGGGAACATTGTTGACACGGACACAGAAACATGTTCGCTGGCTATCAGGTGACACATTTCTTCTCCATTCATCGTTTAATACCACTTCAACGAACATACTTTGGTGTAATATAATAGGAACTATGATAGAAAGTTAAAACAGTTTAGCTGGCCTGAAACAAGTACACAGCTTTTTATTACATTGTGATGGACATGTGTCGACCTCTTGACCCTTCATGCCTCATCATAAAGAGTGTCAGGAGGAGCTCAACATGTAGGCTAAATATCGAGTTCCCAGTTTCCCCCCTGAGAGGTTCACTGTTTGCATGGTATGGCCAACTTGTATGCAACCCTCCGGTGAAGCCGACCTCGGGGAAAGAGATGCAGGATCAGCTTTCACTCTTATATTTTAATCCCTGCCCATTAGTGAGGAAACATCGAAACTTGTCCAGGAGCAGCGACCAACTCCACATTAGCAAGCCCAGACTGTCATGGTGTTAAACGGCTCCTTGTTAGCCTTGCCACTCTGAATGCTTCACAAGAACCTTCTCTGCATGTGTCTGTGTGTGGATTCAATATCGGATGCCTAACCAAATTATCATCAAGACACACAAACTGTGCAGAATGATACACAAAACCCAGCAGAATGTCTAAACTCAAACAATCTAAAACCTTAAAGTTTAAAAGAAACTGAATCGGATGTCATATGCTTAACTCAGTTAGCCAGAGCAGCATTTCAGAACAACACCCTGTGAACATTTTTATTGAGCTGCTGCTAAATGCACAGCCTATTCAGACTGTTTATTGACTGTGTGTTTGCTTGCTGTCTTTCCGTAGAAACCAGTATGTGAGGGTCACCCTTCAGGCAGGTTATTTTAAGTGTCTGTTACTATCCCATCAAGGGATAGCATTTCATTTCAAGCCCATTCTGTGTGTGTGTGTGTGTGTGTGTGTGTGTGTGTGTGTGTGTGTG